ATTAGCTATATACGCGACTATGTCTGATTAAATCATAAATACATTTCTATAATGTTACTTATGTGAAACTTGAGAACATCTATACATAATATCGCGTGACGTTAAGTGACGATGAGTGATATTACGTAATGCAGTTATATTTTTTTATTTGAAAAAGATTATAATAAATCTTTGTATACAAATTATTATATCTATAGTAACTGTATTTGCGTTTGAGATAATATCCAATCATTTTTGATATCCAATCTGTGCGGCGATGACCAAATCCTTAAGCAAAGTTCAGTTGTATCAACAGTCGATAAGTGTATGGATACCGTGAGTGCTGTGTGCCGCGAACTTTCGTTGAACAATCTAGTGACGGTAGATGAAAAAACTGCTGTCACCTATCTACATTGACATCGCTGTTACTCCAGTCAGCTCGTGACCACGGCTAGTGCAACCTAGTCGAAACGTCGAGAGAGGTAATTACCTTTATTTGCCATAAAATTATTCGTATTAAGACCCGGTTAATAATTTAAATAATGTATATTAAACATGATAGTTTAAAAATAACTATCAATTCCCTAGTTAATAACTTAAGAATCCGAGCCACATTATGAAATGAACCAACCAACCAACCATAACTATAAACTATTTAATATTTTGACCCTAACAAATTAGTGCTAGTTGGTAGTTCGCATTCACACATTTCAACTTAAAAATGTAAACTTACAATAATTATTTAAAAGAGCAACACGCAAGTTTCAACTAGTATTTCTTGTAATGAGATAGCTTTCCGAAAGAACGGTAGATAAAAGAAATAACTATGACTATTCAAAAGTGCTTAAATTAAGTTTATTTAAATAAACGATTTTGTATATTATTCTATTTTAAATAAATGCTTTTATTTTACTTATAAAATAAATATGTAACTATATCTGTTTGGGTGGAATCTTGCAACTCAATTTGGAAGCAGATATCTCCAATGATGTTTTTTTTATTTACATTTATTTAAATGCGTTAAAAAGTATAAAATTAAGTTTTCCTTTAAAATGTTTACTGTAATTTATAACGTCATTAAACAATTTATAAGATGTAAAAGATTGATTCATGTTTTTTTTAATATAACAGTGTGTTAACGAGAGTTTAACTGTAAAATAATAAAGTGATTTTTTTAATTTATTTTTTATATTTTTTAATTTCTTTTTATAAATGTCTCTTTATCACTGTAGCCTAAAGTTGAAAGTTGGAAAGAAAATTGACAAATTTCGTGATAAAAACACAACTTTGTAAATTGGCGTATATCAGGATCCAGCCAGAATGCAAAAATTCATTTCAGAGAGGTTAATTGCAAGTCGGTACTCGCCAGTCAGCTAACAGCAAACAAAACGACACGACGTTTCTTTTTTCCAGCGGCTGTTTCCCCTGGCGACATTGCGACACCGCGATACTCGGTGTCGCGACACCGAGTGGCGACACTTGACACTTTTGTCGCCAGTTAATTGGCACGCCCCGCTAAATGTTCTTTTATAGAACACCGTACTTTTATACTTTTTATTTTGAAGTGAAACGTTTTGAAATTCAGTCTGTTAGCGGGGAAATAATGTGGTGTTTGATGCTCAGATGTTAACAGGAGAAAAATTATTTAAAAAACTTTCTGTTATAATAATAATAATAATGCTCTTAGATTCTGCCCGCATTGTACGCCGGTTTCTCTCCCTGGGGCCCTGAACCCCGGCCGACTGTGCTTCTGCCGGGGGTATGTTGCCATCTCCTCTCCTTAAGAGGGGAGATGAGAATTTTTGGATAAAAATAATAATAATAATAATAATAATAATCTCGGGACAATTCACACAGAGCCATCTGGACCCAAGTTAAGCTAGCTAGAGCTTGTGTTATGGGTACTAGATAACTGATACATATACATAGATATTTATTTTTTGTAAATACATACATATTATACATAGAAAACACCCAGACTGATACAAACAATCATACTCATGAATACAAATATTTGCACCGTACGAGGAATCGAACCCGCGACCATCGGTCGTAAAGCGGTGTGCTTGACCGCTAGACCACCGAGGCCGTCGCTGTTATGTAACTTAATAATACGTAGTTCGTTGAATTGAAATTCAAAATAAAAAATCATTTAGGACATTTTAGTCGCTTATGAACGTATTTTTTTTACATTATATTTATTTTCCCTACCCTGGACGGTAGGGAAAATAAATATATTCAGTATAAAGATCCGATTGAGAAGAACTGGCAAGAAACTCAATTGAATTACTTTTTTTTTTAAAGCCAGTTTATTTACAATTTATATAGGTGTCTATGTCTAACATTAAATGAAAATCCCGTGCATGAACAACCATTGCCATGCGCGCTCGTCATAATTGTTCAGTGAATGAAGTGAATCTAAAATTGTATATTGAACTGTACGATTTTGTTCTTGATAGAGATGACTTGAGAGAAATAAAATGTGGTGCTGGAGAAGGATAGAAAGATACAGCTGGAAAGATAAAGTAAGAAAAGAAATACTACACAGAGTGAAAGAAAAAAAGGCAGATATTGAATACTGTAGAAAATAGACGAGGAAAAATTTTAAAGCATTTTATTTAAGTTTTCCGAAATAAACGTAAAACCAATTGTAATCCTATTATCCCTTGATACTCAGTATTATTACTAATTTTTATTATTAATTTCATACCCGATTTAGGAAAAAGTCTCTTTGTTACTAGCTACTCGCCCTGGCTTCGCACGGTTGTACATGTATTATATATATATATATATACATGTAAGAACCACTAATTATAATGACGACTTAGGCTTTGAAGCCGGCTACCAGATTTTTCTACAATATTGATGTGAACCCTAACATACAAATATATATATATATATATATATATATATATAACAAAGTCTCTGTTGCTGTCTCTCCGTCCCTATATATGCTTAAATATTTAAAACTACGCAACGGATTTTGAAGCGGGTTTTTTTAACAGATAGAGTGATTCAAGAAGTTAGAATAATATATATATATATATATAAGATATATATAATACATGTACATCCGTACAAGCCGGGCCGAGTAGATAATATGCTATATTACTGTAAAGTTTCTTCAAAATCCGTTCAATAGTTTTTGCGTGAAAGAGTAACAAACATCCATACTCACAAACCTTCGCGAATATAATATTAGTATTAATATATCATTTATCTAGAGAGATTGAATAAGCAAATCATCAATGGCAGCCTCCAGCCCAGCAGCTTGAACTTACAAATGTCTTGAACGGAAGTGGCCTCGTTTGCGAGCGGAAGTTGCGGAAATCAAGCGAGATTGAATTATCACTTTGGAATACTTACATCTACTGTTGAGCCTACAAAGATAGGCGAATAAATAATTGACTATATCTATAGTTTATATTATACGAGCTACACGTCCCGGCTTCGCACGAATGTACATGTATTATATGTACCTTCCTCTCGAATCACTCTATCTATTAAAGAAACCGGTTCAAAATCCGTTGCGTAGTTTTAAAGATTTAAGCATACATAGAGACAGACAGCGACAAAGACTTTGTTTTATATTATGTAATACTATCTGAGCGGTAGAATAAAAAAAATGTAACTATTCAACTGTTATATTAAGTTTATTTGAATAAAGATTATTAATATTATAAACATTTATTTGAAAAGAATACGAGCTGAGTTTCTTGTCAGTTCTTCTCATCTCGAAATCATTCCGAACTGACGGTAGATTTGAGATATCATAAGAGTATGTAATAGACCTACATATTTATTATTTTGAATTGAATTTGACATAAATTTCTTTTTCGAAAGAATTTCTTTCATTACGCTTGTGCTGAGGTAGAGATTGCAAAAAGTTGTCTCTTTCTAATAAGAAAAACTATGTTTGTCTTGGGACTAGCCCTAACATTTAGGGTGATGAAAAATACATGTTGGCCGATTCTCAGACCTACTCAATACGCTCACAAAATTTCATGAGAATCGGTCAAGCCGTTTCGGAGGAGTATGGGAACGAAAACTGTGACACGAGAATTTTATATATAAGATTTAATTCATTATTTTGAATACTTAAAATTGTAATTGTGACATAATTATCTTAAAAATGTAATTACTATTGACGTGCCATTGTGTAACGAGATTTGTTACATTTGTGAATAAAACAATATGAAATATGAAATATATGATAAATTTGACTAATCATTTAAATTAAATATGGTCAAATTTCGACCATTGGACGACCAATTCTTATTATATTTATTCATATGATTTATAATTTGTTTCCCTATAACGACTATCTTATCACTACGACTGATTTAATCTTATTGTATATTTATATTTGACCCTAATAAATTAGTGCTGGTTGGTAGTTTGTATTAGGGGGAAGGGCATTGTTAGTAATGTGGACTGATGATCCCATTGCTAGCAATGTACCATGTCAGGTCGACCTCCACGCGGACCTGGCAACCATCGTGATAAATTCCTGCTGAATTTGTCACGGTAGGCTAACTGACCTGACCTCATGCTCATGTTATCATCCTCCACTGGTACTCCGCCAGCGTAAACCATTAGCGCAGGCGGACGCTCCATTCCATTATCATCCATAAAAAAAAAGGTAGTTTGTATTCACACGTTTCGACTTGTCATTGTAAAATTACAAGGATTATTTATAAGAGCAACACACAAGTTTCTTGCTCGTTCTTCTTGTAATGAGACAGCTTTCCGAACGAGTGGTAGATAAAAAACAAATTGTTATGACTATTCAAAAGTGCTTAAATTAGGTTTATTTGAATAAATGATTTTCTATTCTATTCTACTACAACATTTTTACTTAACTGACCGTATTGTCAGATAATCGTCTTTGTGAAATCATTAATACAGTACGGAAGTACATACCTACTATACCAATTGAATGGTGAATTGGTGTAGTAGATAAAAAATATTATTAAAATAAACGAACACGAAAAACAAACTAGTATTTGACAACAACTCACCAGGTGACTCCTCAGGCATATCTGTGTAGTGGTGCGGCGCGGATGCCTGTCCGGCGTATAGTAGGTTCAGTTCCCGTGCCTCGTTTTCTTCTTGTGCTTGTTGTCGCCGGAGTGCCACCTATAAATGTGTGGTTGCATCAATTTTGATGTTTGAAATTTTTTATGGTTAGATCTTGATAATGTAACTTCACTGGACTGTTCAGATAGAGTAATGAGTAATTGTTTTTTCAATGATTTTGAAAAGCAGATTTAAATGTAATTTTTATGTCTGTGTAAGCATTTTGTATAAGCCCATCTGAAAATCAGCGCTGGAAACTATTTCCAGCATCATGCTGAGTTGTGGTCCACATTGACTCCGTTTTTTAATGTGTAATTATTCTTGTATTTCTTATGTTATTACTGTAAAAACGAGTTAATAAAAATTCTATTCTATTCTATTCTTTTTTTATTTCTCTAGTCCATTCCTGCGCCATCTACCACTTTCTGTCTTCTCTCCTCTACCCAAAACTTGTCTAGAAGAGATTGCTTAAGCGATAAGACCTCCTTTTGTACCTTATTACTTATTATCTGTTGGTTCTTTGTATAATTATTTATCTGTCTGGTGCAATATGGAGTTAATAAATCAATATCTAAATAAAAATTACTTTCGCATTTTTTATAATAGCTGTTACTGCGGCTTATGGTAAAAGATGGTCTATGAATGTTTTTTTTTATATTTTATAATTGTCACTATTAATATATAATTATAATAGTGTATAAGACATTAATTTTAAATTATAATATTATAGATTATTTAATTTTGATTCACTGAAATATTGCATGCCCGTAAATTGGGGCAATTAAACAGTTGCCAATAATATTACTAGCTGTATATTACAGAATATTTAACTATATAATATGTAAATAAATTACATTTCATTTCATTTCCCAATACAAGCTATCTTCAGGTTAAAATCCATTAGTAACAGGAAAATAAAAAAATAAAAAATAAAAAAAAAGCAACTAGTTTCAACACAATTCCATATTTAAATAGTAAAAAAAACAGAATCTTTATTCAAATTCATTTAATATAAGAACTTTTGAATTTTGAAAAGCGGTATTTTCTTTAATTTACCACTCATTCGAAACGCAGACTTATCACAAGAAGAATAAGTAATAAACTGGCATGCCTTTTTCTTTCGGACTACTCTAATGCTGTTGGCCGCAGCTGGCCTTTACAGCTTCACCGGACGATAGGGGGCGAGTGCAGATGACACTCCAAACCAGAGGAAGGACTTATGGAGCGGCTGAAGGCCAACTCCTGCCTGACGGTTACGACTTTAGTTTGAGGGCACCGCTAGGGGTTCGAACCTCGGCTCAGGCCGTCGTAATTTCGATCCCCGTTTGAATTGGATGGGGGATCGATCGGAGGGATCTGGCATGGCGTGTTGCTCTTTTAACATTCTAATTAAATAAACATTAACAAGGATTAGGCATACGACAATCAACATAGAAACCGCTACTCAATTATTGTGCAATCAGATATGATTATCAGCGTTAAGGGACATACAAACAGACAGTGTTTCTCATTAATAGTATTAGTATGTGATGTATTGTATACCTTATAACATACCTGTGCTGCCATGACCCGTTGCCGCTCAGCTATGAGGGTGCATTTGGCACAAACGCAGTCTCTCCACCGGCAGTAGCGTTTGTGGCCCTTAAGAGCGGATACCACCCCGTGGTTGCGGCAGCGGGCGCACTTGGGTGTCCTCTGGTGAGGGACAAAGGTGGACTGGTTAATGTTGTAGTACCATTACTAGATCTATGAAGTCTATGGTAATATTAGCTATATTCTGTACTAGCTGTACCCGCGACTTCGTCCGCGAGAATAGCCTTGACCAAATAATGAAAAAAATATTTAATGACCTAACCCAATAAAAGCCAAATGAAAAAGTTTCATCGTTTCATCTTAAAAAATGACGTCACTTCCATACATAACTCTTTCAACCCCTTATAACCCTTCTATTGCATTCAAACTATTTTATTTTACCCTCTTAAGGGTAACATTTTTATAAACTATGATGACCTATTTATTTATATTTAATCAACAGCCTCAGAAATAAGTTTCAAGCTTCTAACTTCAAAAATGACGATTCTTCCAATCTTTCATCCCCAATTTCAACCCCTTACAACCCTTTTTTTGCATTAAAAATAGTAGTAGCCTATGTCCTTTCTCAGGGTCTAGACTATCTGTGTACCAAATTTCATTTAAATCGGTTCAGCAATTTCGGCTTGAAAGCGAGACAGACAGACAGACAGAGTTACTTTCGCATTTATAATATTAGTAAGAATTAAATTTGACGCGCCATAATTAGTGAAAATCACGGGATATTACCACATTTATATTTGTGTCTTTTTTTTTAATATACATTAGAAAATAGTTATCTATTACAAAAACTCAAGCACTATCGTTGCCTGCTAACTACCACCTCTATCACAGCGCTAGGTTGGCTGGAAGAGATCTCTTGTACAGAGCCCGCCCTTGCTCACATTTTTGTATAACTGTCTTTGTTTATTAATGTAATAAGTGCAATAAAGTATATATATACTAGCTGACCCGGCAAACGTTGTTTTGCCTTAAAATAAAAATAAAAAATATAGGGGTGGACTACCCCTAACATTTAGGGGGCCTCCACGCGGTTCCCTCTGTAACCCATCGCAATAAATTCCTACTGAATGTCGATGAGCTAACAGACCTGACCTCATGTTCATCTTATCATCCTCCACTGGTGCCCAGCGTAAACCGTTAGCGCAAGCGAGTGTACCATTCCATTATCATCCATAAAAAAAATGATTACGTCCCCTTATAATTTAATAAACATGAACCGTATAATTATAAACAAAGAGATCACATTACAGTAACAACAGCGGTCGATGTAACAACATCATTACAGTATCACGTTACTTAACGTAGGGGCTGCAATTGTAACACTGTTCAATAGGGACTGTAATGTAATCTGTAACATTACAATAGCTAACACGGAAGTGTTAATATTCGTAATTACCTACCACCAACAGTTGTCGTTTCTTTTTAACATACTAGCTACGCGCTCCGGCTTCGCCCGGATGTGTGAAATATATTATGGACTTCGAATAATATAACTAAACGGCCGAAGTATAAAATAGAAATAGAATTAATCTCTATTCAAATAAAGTTAATGTAAGTACTTTTGAATAGTCACATTTTTTTATTTTACCACTCATTCCGAATGCAGACTCATCACAAGAAGAATGGGGAAAAAACTTGTGTGTTGCTCTTTTAAATAAATATTGTTTTAATTAGATTTACATTATAAGGATCAGGCATGCGACAATCAACATAGAAACCGCTACGCACTTAATGTCTGTTCAATCAGATAACATTGTCAGCGCTATGAATTTTAAATTAGATATTTTCTACAAAAACATATTATCATTTATAAATTCTTCAATTTTATAATAAGCTTTTTTCTAAATATTTTATACTAGCTACGCGCCCCGGCTTCGCGCGGGTGTACATGTATTATGCAATAAAACTTCCTCTTGAATCACTCTATCTATTAAAAATATCGCTTCAAAATCCGTTGCGTTGTTTTAAAGATTTAAGCATACATATGGACGGACAGACAGCGACAGCGACTTTGTTTTATACTATGTACTGACTAGCTGCGCCCGCGAGTTCGTCCGCGTTATAGTGATCTTCAATAAATAAAGAAAAATATTCAATAATATAACTCAAAAAATGGCAAGAAAGTTTATCGTTCTAGCTTCAAAAATGACGATCTCCCATACAAATTTTCAACCCCTATTTTATATTATCCTTTATTGCACTTGTTACATTAATAAATAAAGATAATTTACAAGAATGTCAGCATGTTTATTTTAACATTTTTAGTAAAACCCCATAAGGGTTGTTTTACTAAATATGAATGTCATATTTTCAATAATGTAACTTAAAAAATGAATGCTTTGAAACTTTGAATGCGTCTATATAATTTAGCTCTTAGGCATACATAGTGTTGGATTACAATCCAGTTTTGTACCGAACTACACGCTCCTAACTATATTATTATTGATTGTAATCTGTTTTGTATGCTAATAAATAAATAAATAAATAAAGAAAATGTTCATCGTTTTAGCTTCAAAAATTACGATTTTCCTTACAATTTTTCATCGCCAATTTATTTTACCACGTTAAGGGTTTTTTTTTATAAATTTCAATGTCATATGTATTCAATATCTAATCAACAGCCTTAGAAAATAATCAAGCTTCTAGCTTTGAAAATGACGAGTTCTTAGCTGGAATGCACTCCGAACTGAAGGCACTCTTTGACATATCATAAGAATCTGTAATAGATCTACATGAATAAAGATATTTTGATTTGATTTAGTATATATTATTATATATTAGTATCTTATCAGTTCTTCACAATTGGATCTATATACTGAACTGGAAGGTAGGGAAAAAATTAAAAATATAATGTAAAAATTTGACGTTCATAAGCGGTTAAAATGTCCTACATGAATAAATCACTTTTGATTTTGTATTTGAATATATAGGAGTACTTCTAATATATAGGATTTTTGAATTACCGATTTTTCCGAATTTGATTTTTTTTTAAATATAGGTATAAACACATAACCTTCCATTTTTTCTATAAACACTTATGGTTTTTTTTTCATTTCACAGTTTCTGTGTAATTTCAGCGACATGTCTTCAGGTACCACTACTGTTCCTTGTCAGCCGAGCCGTCGGCATTTTCCATGATCTTTGTATAAATATATAATTTTACCCCAAATATTCATAATATATATTATGAATAAATATAAATAGATATTATGACTAAAATAATAATATATAAGTAAATAATATTTTCATGTAGATAAATAAATTATTTATTAAAACGTATAATAATAATGAAATACCTATAATACAATTGAAATAGAAATAGAAATAATCTTTATTCAATTAAACTTAATATAAGCACTTTTGAATAGTCAAGTTTTTTACAAAAAGAATAAGCAAGAAACTTGTGTGTTGCTCTACTTGAAGAAACTTACGTATATTTAAAATTTGAATTTCTTTTCATGTTGTTAATAATATATTATTTCGAATTGATAAAAATTTATTGCAATAAAAATGTACAATAAATTACATTTTATTATAAAAAATGTAATAAACAATTATAATGAAATTATTATCCAATTAAAACAAATAAAGCCTATTACATAATATACTTAATACAAAATCAAATCAAAAAATACTTGGAATTAGTTGATAAATAATATAAAAACGTCCGCCTCTCTTCCACGTTGCAATGCCTAAAAATCTCATATTATGTGTGTGAATTAAATAATATAGTATAATTATGTAACGCAACATAAATAAATATATTATTAACATAATAATAAGATATCAAAATCATTACATAGTATAAAAAAAGCCGCTGTGGCTGTCTGTCCGTCCCTATGCTTAAATCTTTAAAACTACGCAACGAATTTTTTAATAGATAGAGTGATTCAAGAGGAAGGTTTATATGTATAATACATGTACACCCGTGCGAAGTCGCTACGAGTAGCTAGTTTTAAATGAACATAGGTAAAAATTTCCCATCAACATGTTTTTAAAACTTTTTTGTATTCACACACTTATGTAAACTTAAAAATGTAAAGTAATAATAAAATTATTTAAAAGAGCAACACGCAAGTTTCTTTCTCGTTCTTCTTGTGATGAGACAGCTTTCCGAATGAGCGGTAGATTAAAAAAATGTGATGACTATTCAAAAGTGCTTCAATGTAAGTTTATTTGAATAAATGATTTTCTATTCTATTCTATTCTTTTAACAAATTGTTTTCTTTACCGAGCTTTACGATCGCGTAATAACTGTATCCTACTACCATTTTCAAAAGGTTAAATATTACACGATATTAAATATATATACAGTGGATATATATATATGTCATTTACTTGCATCGACGACCTCGGTGGTCTAGCGGTCTAGCACACCGCTTTACGTCCGATGGTCGCAGGTTCGATTCCTCGCACGGCACAAACATTTGTATTCATGAGTATGATTGTTTGTATCGGTCTTTTCTATGTATAATATGTGTGTAATTACAAAAAAAATATTATCTATGTATTTGTATCAGTTGTCTAGTACCCATAACACAAGCTTTAGCTAGCTTAACTTGGGTCTAGATGGCGCTGTGTGAATTGTACTGAGATTATTATTATTATAGCTACCAATGAATGTGCTATCTAAACATGTTTTTTAATAATTTTTATATTTTAAACAATACCGCGAAATTATTTTTATCCAGCTCTACAATCAGAATGCAGAAGATTGAGATAACAGAAACAAACTTTTAGTACATTTTTCTGTCCTATTAAATAAATAAAATTACTGCTATTTGTAGGAATCCTTTGACTGTTTGTTTGTTTAATATTTTAGCTGTAATTCAAAATAACTGAATTTAAACAGAAAAACTGAGATTAGCTGGAACAAACAGACAGACAGACAGACAAAATATATAAAAAATGATTTTTTGGTGTATGTACCGTATTTACATTCATATGCATATAGTAAAAAACGGTTATTTCAATATTACAAACAGACACTCCAATTTTATTTATATGTATAGATTTAATGAAATCAAGCAAACATCAGATCAAATATTAAAACCTATCGATTAAAAAAAACGCTTCAAAATCCGTTGCGTAGTTTTAAAGATTTAATCATATATAGGGACAGACAGCGACAGCGACTTTGTTTTATAATATGTAATGATTAGGATTTTGTATATCTCTATCTACCTGATTGGAACTTTCTTAACAATACCATCTATGTACAGAATAGAAAAACGAAATCACTAAATATATCTATATAAGTATATTTACCTGATATCTCTCAGAGGCTCTGAGGAAGAAAGGCGGCAACGCGGCCAGCACGGGATGCTGCACAAGTTGGGACACATCTACACCGTTCGGCAGCGACATTTCCATAATACAACAGTAACTCAAACAAAACAGTACCTATACAGCTTTAATATACACTCAAAAACTATTGGACATCTTAAAAAAACTGGCAACACTGCAACTGTCAAACGTGAATTCACGTTATTAATTTAGAACGCGCTACAGTTAAGGCAGCGCTCCACGACGAGTTGTTACCAACACTGTTGCTTCATTTTCGGCACGCGGACAAACTGACAGTTGCCGGGGACGGGCCGGGGGACAGACAGACAGAGAGGGAACGAGTGCGAAACGACACACTGTATACATGCGATAGCTGCGTCCCACTCCCTCTGTAGTGTTAACTGTATATGTTGTATCAGTCGGTTATATAAAATGTAGACAGATGAGAGCCCCCCGAGGACCAATGGGAGAGCGGCTCGTCCCGCCTCCCGGCAAGCGATTGGTGTGCTCGACTGCTGAAACTTAATTTAAAAAGGTGACTTTTTTGAGAACCGGTTTTTGTAACCGGACAAAGCCTATTGAATGAAGCACAAAAACACAATTATTATTTGTTATACGCGTCGGGGATTCCAATCTATTTTAATATTTATTGTTAAGGTTTTGTTCTATTGTTGAAGCAGTGGCACTGCGGTTCAGCGCTGCGTGCTCTCAGGTCAATATGGTGCATGTTTCCTTCATTGTTCTGTAATGAGATCGAAATATCCGATTCTGAACACATTATGTTTGTATGATGCAGTCTCTCTAATTTATTCTGACATCAATTGATACTCGTATTTCTTAGATCGTTAACAGATATATCTCCATATAGTATGTTATTGTAAAATGAATTAGATATATGATAAATAAAACTGTCATACTCGTGAACGGGTGCTTGTGGGAACTGGTATGTTCGGGTTACGAACACTGACTAGACTATTTGCTTTTGCATACGGTCAGTATTTTCCCCAATTTGAATTTAAATGAATCTGTATTATTGTAAACATGTACAACATTTATTTGAAAAGAATACGAGCTGAGTTTCTTGTTAGTTCCTCTCACCTCGAAATCATTCCGAACTGACGGTAGATTTGACATATCATAAGAGTCTGTAATAGATCTACATGAATAAAGATATTACGAATTTTGTATTTTTAGTTTCTATTGTAGGTATATCTTATATATAAAACTCTCGTGTCACAGTTTTCGTTCCCATACTCCTCCGAAACGCTTGACCGATTCTCATGAAATTTTGTGAGCATATTGAGTAGGTCTGAGAATCGGCCAACATCTGTTTTTCATCCCCCTAAATTTTAGGGGTAGCCCACCCCTAATTTTTTTTTTATTTTAAGGCAAAACAACGTTGCCGGGACAGCTAGTAATATATATAATTACTGAAAATGGGACAGAATTATATTTAATAATATTTATTTATTTTTAACGTCACCGGTGGTCGAGCAGATTAGCACACCGCCTTACCGGTGGTCGCGGGTTCGATTCCTTGCACTATAGGAATATTTTTATTTATGAGTATGATTCTATCGGTCTGGGTGTTTTCTATGTTACTATGTATGTATGTATATATAAAAAATATGTGTTTATGTCAGTTGTCTAGTCTCCATAACACAAGCTCAGCTTATCTTGGTACTAGATAGCGCTGTGTGAATTATTCTGAGATATTATATTATTTCATTAAATTTCAATTAATTGAAAACTTGATTTGGAATAATAATAATAACTTATCAGGACAATTAACACAGCGCCATCTAGTCCCAAGCTAAGCAGAGCTTGTGTTATGTATAGGTAGGTACTAGACAAGTGATATAAATACATTGATATATTTCTTTTGTAAATTAATTATAATTAGAGTTGACAGAAGTGTCTGTAGTGGACCTACATGAATAAATATATTTTGAACTAGCTGTACCCGCGACTTCGGCCGCGTGGAATTTAACTTTCCTTTTCTGAATTTTTTTTTCTAAAGTAAATGTAGCCTAAGTTACTCCTTATTACATCAGCTACCTGCCAAAATAGTCTCGTCAAAATCGGTCCAGCCATTTCAGAGATTAATCGGAACAAACAGACAGACAGACAGACAAAAATTGTAAAAAATGTTATTTTGGTGTATGTACCGTGTTTATATTTATATGCATGTAGTAAAAACCGGTTATTTCAATATTACAAACAGACACACCAATTTTATTTATATATATATATAGATTTGAATTATTAACAGTATGCATGCCTCCATTACGCAGGTTATATAATTATATTATATTTATATATTTATAGGTTTGGATTTAATATATAGTAAATATATTAAATCCAAACCTCAGTCTCCCATATAAATTTAGATTTGTTATCCACATTCCCATCACTGGACGGTCAATCCAAAAATTGACATTACAAACTTTCTAATTCAGATTCGAACCCCCGACCTGCTAACACTGAGTCGGGCCAGTCAACCACTGAACCACAGCGGCCTCCCTTAATTTCTAATTCGCATGTCGAACTCTGTGCGGAAGGTGCGTCCAAATTGAAATATTTCAATTTACTTGTCGAACTGGAATTCGATTTAAATTACAATGAGCGGAGTGGGCCGGGGGCGGCGGGGGACGGGGGACGGGCCGCGAGGGGCCGCGAGGGGGTGCGCGGGGGTGCGCGGCGGGGTGAGGCGGCTGTAATTATTATTTGTCAATGTATATTTGCATGTCTGCGCGTATTGCTATCGAGGCGATAGGCCGCGTCTACAGGGTGCTCGAAGTTCGCCCTAAAGCGGGCCACACACGACACCAAAATTAAGGGATGTATATGTGCTAACTGTTTACGCTGGCGGGGTAGCAGTGGAGGATGATACGATGAGGATGAGGTCAGGTCAGTTAGCACATTGTGAAAATTCACTAGAAATTTATCGTGATAGTTTCCAGGGGGAACCCCGTGGAGGTCAACCTGACATGATATTGATAGCAATGAGGTGTGTCTGTATATATGACCTCGGTAGTCTAGCGGTTTAGTACACTACCTTACTTCCGATGGTTGCTGGTTCGATTCTCGCACGGAGCAAATATTTATATTCGTGAGTACGCTTGTTTTTAATATGAGACTGGGTGTTTTCTATGTACATTATAGATGCATATCTCGACCACTAATTATAATTAAATACATAAAAAAACAACATTCAGGTAGAGACATCCGTACACCCCCTGTATATAGGTATTACCTATTACAGCAAAGCAGATACAGGTGAGATGGGAGGCCGTGTGACCCGGAGAGGGGGGGAGAGACAGAGGGGCGGAGGGGGGAGGCTGGAGGCGCAAATGAGAATTCCGCAGCACAACGATCAATTCGCGAAATGTTCACATTTCGCAAACGTCTCAACTTGTTGTAGACATGGGAACGGTGCGTGGGAGTATCGATATCGAAATCGATAATAATAATTGTACAGAACTCCTTACATTTGGGCCGCTGGCTGGTACGACTATTCCTTATTTTTAAATATTTGTATATTAGATCGGTTGCTATGGTTTTGTTATTCTTTTTTTATTCCTTGTATTGCTCTTGCTTTCATCTAGTTTGTTACGAAATATATTTTTATAATATACCTACTATTCTTTTACATATAGCATCTTTAATTACCACCATCGTTGGCTGCACCGACCCCAGCGCCCTATACACACTCCCACATAATAATAGTAATAATATTCCTGGACACTTCATAATAACGCCATCTAGTCTCAAACTGAGTGTGACTGGAGCGGGAACACAACTACTATTTTAATTAAAAATCATAATAACAGTAAAAATGTGTATTATTCCACAAAAGGGCTCACAGCGAATAATGAAAGTAACAAGAAGTCAAAAGTGACATAAAAAATAGATATCACAAAATACAAAGTTTATAAAAAGAATGGTAGACAAGCTGCCAGTAACACTGAGTATAGTTTGTGTTATGGTACCCATAACATTTGAATGAATAATATTCTATTCTGTTCTCGAATGATCCTTACTTTGAAAGAAATGTTAATTAGTTAACGAAAGAGTTTTTACTTTACAAAGTATAATAAATTACGACATATTACCTAGGTAGGTACTCGTTAATAATAGGTGTAGCTTTCTATTGGCGGCAGAGTTCTTAAAATCCGTTTTTTTAACTAACTATCATTACAATTATAATAAAAAATCAGTGCCATTTACTTATAATACTTCTGACAACGGTACAGAAATAAAATTTTATCATCGCAGTTTCCCTATTTATCGATAATAATTATTATAATATTTTATCGACATAGTTTCCCTATCGATCATCGACAAAGGTCACCTCTCTACCGGGAGCGTGGGAGCGGAGCGAATATCTTCGCAAGCGTTAAAATGAAATGTTCGCAATTTGAATATCGTTCCCGGATCCCCCCTCGCCGCCCTCACCCCGGCACCGCACGACCCCCCTCCCGCCCCGCGGCTCACCCCGCTCGCCCCCGGGTTACGTCTTGGAAGACGTAGTACGTAAAGTTTTTCGTTCGTTAAACTTACTTTAATTACCTTATTAAAGTTAACTAAAAAGTAATAGTCGGATCTTGATTAAACTTGTATGGGACAACACGAGAACTAACTGTGTTTAAATAAAAAAAAATTAAATTAGTTAACACATACGCCCTTCCGTCCGGACTTCCGTAGTGTACAGACGTGCGTGCATATACCTAAATTACTTATATCGTTTAATCTAAAACAAAGTAATAAAGTGCAAAAACAAATCTACTACAACCAGAGACGAACAAAAGGAGCGCGTGAGTTAAAACATCAATCATTATATATATTTCTCACTGCATAAAGACATTATAAAAAATAAAAAACAAATAATTCATTTCGGAGCAAAAGAAACCTACATACAATGATAACTACTTAAACACACACATATGAAAGCTTTCACATATAGAATGCACTCGCACACTAATTAAAAACGTGATATTCAGAAAGAGAGTGATGGTGACATTAGCATAATAATAAGAAGGAAAGAGATGACTAGATTTCTACTCAGTCGAACGACCTATTGAACCTAATAATTGTGTGATGTGTACCTGCATTTTTGTAGAACATTATCTCTGTAGTGACCTGTCAGTGAATCGGCTTAACTTAATAACGTACAACTAGTTCCAGTGATTGTGTTTTATACACAAAATAACTATAATCAACGATTAAT